ATGAAATAAAATAATAGTCGTTCAGGTGCAACGCCCCTTCGGTGCACAAAGGGGATCATGAGGGATGAGATGCTGCCAGGTTACCAAGCCTGGACAAGGGCAGTCCAGGTGCCGAACCACGGATGATCCGGCCAACAATCTCGTTTCTTAACCAGTGGGCTATCCTAAGCACTACATGTTGCAGATTGTTAATATTTTATTGATCTCTTCAGTCTAAGACGTAAAACGATGAAATTTGTATGAAGAGTAATGTTCACAGATAGTAGTTGACTAATTTCCGCAAGTCACTTGATCAATGCCAGGGTAATCGAATCGTTTGCTCCAACTGTTCTCGTGTACACAGTCTCGGCTGTCTTGGTTTGATCGGCAGCGGTTCGCTTATCGTTAAAACCTTGGGGTTTGTGTTGCGCAATAGGAATTGGAAGGATTTTACCAGGTCAGCCCGAAGGTTAGTACCTAACAGATATGTCGCTACAAATGAGGCGGGATCGCGGCTTGACCTTTGACCCGAGGGTTTTCCTGAAAATATTTGGATTACATACTTTGGAATGCGTTCTGCTTCACGCTCCACTAGTTACCTTTCTGTCTTGTCAACATAGGCGTCTCCGCAGCTGCTGAAGGACTCGCAGACTACAGTAGAGGTAGACAGATTAGACAGCCTATGCAGAGCAAATCCTTTAGTGACTATGGTTACACCGTTCGCCTACGGTATAAACGTTTCAACGCGATTTACATACTTGGAATGCGTTCTGCTTCACGCTCCACTAGTTACCTTTCTGTCTTGTCAACATAGGCGTCTCCGCAGCTGCTGAAGGACTCGCAGACTACAGTAGAGGTAGACAGATTAGACAGCCTATGCAGAGCAAATCCTTTAGTGACTATGGTTACACCGTTCGCCTACGGTATAAACGTTTCAACGCGGAACTGATCTTGCGTCATCTGTCGGTGCTAACGTGGTTCCGTCTGAACTGAAGAAACAAGTATATATCTTTCTTGCTGGCTGAGTGAACTAGGGCTATTTGTATACCTTTGTAATGTTCTACTAACTGTGTTTCAGCTCTACCGCGATTTTCAGTGAAACGCTCTGGTTAACTGTTCTGCAGCTAGGCTTTCTTCAAGAATTCATCCTCTCTCTGTTTAGGGTTGCATAGTCTCCTCACTGTGGAATGGTCTTTAACAACCAACGCCCATAAGCTATTTAGATAACTTGTAACACCAGCGACTGAAGAGACTAAAAGAAGCGATAACATAACGCAGCATGCTTCCTGTCAGTTATAATGAAAAGGAGAGAAGCTACGCTCCTCGCCAATGGGACTGTCCGTCCAAGCCAGCCAGATAAGTGCTGGATTCAGTCGAGTTCAGTTGATCAAGTGGCTAGCGAAAACGATGGAGCACACAGGACCTTGAAAGGCCGTATAACAAACAACATGAAGTATCGAAGAACTTTTATGAGCTATGAACACCGGGATTGGAGAAGGCTTTTACTGCAGGAAGAAGCCGTGCTCCATTTCAGATGATTTGATCAGCTGGCGAAAATGAAGGGTGTCATCAAAACAGTTTAGGAAAGAGATGGAATGGCCATCAATTCTAAGAATCGTCATACTGTGTGATGTGTTGAACAATGAACGACAGTTCGGCTGACCTTCCACACCACTTTATGAAGAACACAGCCTCATGGAAAATCAACACAACCCGTCATAAGCAACAGCGAGAAGGATCATTCCTCGAACTCGATAAGAAACCTGGCCCGGATGGTTTGCATCCAACACTGTTCAATGCACACGATGAGAAGTTTACTACAGATTTGGAGCAAAAATACCGCTGAGACGAACCACTTCAACGATAATCCCACTGTTCATAAAAAAATCCCAGGAACGTCATTCGGAAATCCCCTTGGCATCGACCTGATAAACTTGGTATTCAAGGTGTTCCCCGTCATTATTTCGAGCAGTTTGATCGATCAACGGGAGAGAAATATTAGTGAGAATCAAGCCAGCTTATGCCCCATTGTTAATGCGCAGTTGTCAGGTATTCTCCAAAAAAAACTGATTCAACAGCCACTGTTTCGAATGCCCGTCTATATCTCCAATGGGTCCCAGTTGTTCGAAAACCGATACTTCAGCAGCTAGAACAAATGTAACTTTGGTACATGGTTTATGAGAGACTGAACTGAACTGAGGTGCAGGTGACGATGACGACAGGGATATGAGGGGATTTCTAACGTAGCACGGTATTCCGGAATAACAATCGATTTCAATGAAGATGACATAACACAACACGCCAGTATTCTCTCATTAGTCCTTGAAAACTGCACAGAATGGAAGGTAGTAGACCTACGCAATCGACCTCATATCCTAACAAGTACATCCAAATGGATGTCAATGGAGAGTTACGTACACCGAAAAACAAATAAAGCCTGCGAACAAAAAGTAATCCGGTTAGACCTGTAGTAACCCTTTGTAATCCCCTTTGTTCCTGTTTGATCGAAAAACTGAATTGCCTCATGCACTGAAAAGATCACGTGCGCAGTGGAAAAGTCGGCAACTGTGATTATACAGGGAAGAAATAGTACACTGACCATAGTTTATCCAGATTGAGTTACCTCTGTGGAGTCACATGACCACCAAACAAGTTCAAGATGGAGATAATGTCATGCCAACATCGGAAACTGCACGCATCAGGAGTGAAAATTCTCCACATTGACGTGAAGTGTAATGCAGGCTAATACGATGCGTTGGTCTAAAGACGAAAATCGGAACAAAGCATCGGGGCTACCTGGTATGCTAATCTAAAGAAGCACAGTTCAGTTCGGTTGCGTTATACAGCAAGGAAGCATGTACGAAGAGTATGTTTATCTAAGGTGCTATGATTTGCTTAGTCGAAGGATGAGGAGTGCCTCTAATTTTCAAACTGCTGCATGTCCAGATCATGTACGCAATTCAAAATTGAAGAACCAGTGATTTCAAAATGTTTTTGTTCATTACTGCTCCATTGGTTGGCAGGTACATAATTTATCGATAGAAGCCTCCCTGCACGATAGAACAGTTTTTTGTACAAATATCCGTAAAACTGAAGACCAAAGTGCTCAACGGAGATAACCGCGCATGATGTCATTCATCAAGGCCATCCTAAATACTGATGGAGCGAACGGTTCGCGAGGGAACATGTCATCAAGACGAAGCAGTGAACGTAGACATCACGCACATCTACTTTGCATGAGCTGAAAGTGTTGCTCGAAAGACTGATAACGCTGAACACAGTACGACTATATAGGGTTGCCGTATTTGTACTGACTGTTTCCGAGATCCAGATACACTGACACTTCGAACCGTATACCAATCGTACTGTGCGTATAAAAAATGTCAGTCGTTAGTACCTGAGTTGGGCGTAAAAACTAGCAGTCGCTGGGTTGTAGAATGGGTCGAGTACGACTCACACAAATTTAGGAGCCTAGGGGCTATGGGTGATGTCTTCGATCCAACAAATTTGTTGTTTAGGAGAGCTCTGATAGTCTGGTTATGGGGCTGATAGTGAGGAAACATGGAAATCCATGTTCTTTGCTAACTCTGGACTGACGGTTGTAATGCGACCGATGGATGATGAAAGAGGTTAAACAGAGATGCCTAGTTATCCACGAGAGTTTTTATAGGTTTCCGCGTACACCTTCGTTTAGCTTCATTATTATCATTGCAGCAACATTAGAAGATAACAATGGTGTTTCACTGTCATAAAGCCATGTAGCTTCAGTGCAGATGAACGGGAACCAGGATTCCTTATGTGATGGCCAAAACCTGAAAAAATGAGCCGTGATTGGTTCCACTCACCAAATCAAACGAGAGTGAACATTCTATGCATTGATGGATTTCTTATTCAAAGTCACACACAGATAACGGCGACAAAATCAATGAGTATTACCAAAACAAAGACAACTGACAGAGCTGTTGCCTTCAACGATAGCCAATTCATCTGTTTTATCTGGTTCCGATCCCTGTGTGCGTCTTCTTTATTCCCAGCCGTAATAATTTGACATGTTACCACCACAATAACAATCTCCCAAAACGCTTGTATGGTGAAAGACCACACTTCGCTCTTGCTTGTTTTTCAACATCCGTGGTGTCCGGTCATTGAAAGATATTTGGCTCAAATTTTCAGAGCACTTCAAAATTCCATCGAGTATCATGTTCTGATTTAATTCTAATTCGCATATATATGACAGCTACTTGAGGGAACTAATTCGCGTCAACGGATGAGCTAGTCTTTTGAAACCAGTAGAACACCGAGCTGAACACCAAACGAACAACAAGAAGAATGGTTCATGCATACTACGGTTTCAACTTAAATTCTCTCGGAGCTCTGTGAAATTAGAACGTCAATACAAGGGGCCCTAAGGTGTAAGGAGAGATGCACCAGAGACGCTGTCCATGATGTTGATTCGGTTTTCTTCAGACTGCACTCCAGACGTGCACAAGTGAACGTACCACCTGAGAGTGCAAGTCTGCGAGGGAGACAGACTGGTAGGCAGGTATAAATGACGTTGGATAGATAGGATGGCGCTCATGGAAGTGAAGACTGAATGCCTCCACCCAACAGTCACGATAGATTGATCCTCAAACACTACCAAAAGATACGCGTCCGAAAGCTTGGTTAAATTTGGCTCCGGTGGTTTTTGACTGACCGATGAGCCCCAATGAAGATGAAACAGGCCTACTGTAGAAGATCTGTCACAATTCAGCGACCTATTTCTTCACAACATGAAGCTAAGGCTTTATGTTATGGGCAAAATTAAAGCCATAAGACGCCTCATAAATATCAACCGCAGTTTGTTACGTGCAACCTCCGCAACAGATGATTGGAAATACACCAGTCAACAATAATTCATTGAGCCCTGAGAAAGTTGAAAAGGACAGTGTGTCGGTGACCAAAGCGCAAGAAATGACTATACGGCAGGGACAGTTTGGAAATGGACCACGTTCAAGCGCCGGAAGATTTCACCAACTTACCCAGCGTGCAAACGCGTGCATTCATCCACGTCCGTGTAACGCGCATCAGATAGGATTTTCCGCATTAGTGGAGTACAAATGCGCTGACCGATAACCAGCTTTTCCTCTTTGGTGATACCGTATTCCTACAAGCAAGAAATGCAGCGATAGGTCCAATTCAAATGCAGCAAAAGCGAAGCTTTCTCACGTAAGTGACAAAATATCATATTTTTGTTCTCGTTCGATGCATCGCTAGAATGCAGCACATAGAAGCACAAGGGTTAGCACAATGATAGATGAACTATACTGGAACAGAGTGAATCTGAAAAGTGGAAATTCTGCCGAACTAACAGATCTTTTCCATGAATAGTTTGCATCTACGTCATGTATTATTTTGAGCTTCACTTTGGTACCATTGAAAATCTATAAGATATGCGACAGTGGGAGTGAAAAGATCTGTAGCGGCAGACTGACTAGCAGCTCAAAGACATGCTGGCTAGATTAGTATTACGAGTTTCTTTTGTTATGGCAAATACATTGTTCTGATGAGATGCGCCTTGTGGAGCTCCGAAGGATAACGGGACAAAACCTGAACGCTTCCAAAAATACAGCTGATTTACGAGAGCCCAGCACTTGTCCTGATCTGCCAGTTCGCAGAAAGACCAATGGCAACGGCACTGCGAAAAACACTAATAAGAAGATTCCGAGATTTTTGTGAGCATATCAACCCCAATCACCATTGAACCACCTCTCCAGTTTAAGATTTAGTTTCTATATGGTTGTGAAGAGTGGTGTCCGAGGCTTCTGGAGTGTTAGCGTCCCTTCACTGAGCTAAACGCTAAATGGTTGGAATATGAAGCGTCGTATGCCGACAAAAACTTTTCTATAGATCACGTGTACCATGTGAATGAAGAAAAGACCTGGCTCGGAACAAGTCACATCGACAACACTGCAGAACGCACGCAAGGCACACGGTTTGGTGATATAAACAGAAGAAAACGATAATCAGTAATGAGATGTTGAAAACGGATAGTCCAGATGGGCCAACAGATTACTGGTATAACTTCCGAAAGTAGTAAAAAAAACATTACAAACAAGTAGTAGCAACCATTCGATTAGCGGAACTGAGATGGTGACTATCAAGCTGCTTAGGATGAAAAAACCACAGTCATAACGATAGGTAAACAGCATAAGTTTGCACACCTGAATAGTTCCCGTTATCCCGCATGCTCTGAGATCGAACATGAAAACATTTCTACACATGTGAACAGGGTCGCAAAACCATGACCGTAGTGCGGTAATTTTTAACTGACTGGCCCACAACGCAGATTATCCGACCACCGAGAATAGTGTAGGCATGACGGTGACGGGAAGTTGATCAGCTCAGAGTAATTGTGCCATATGATGTGCACAGTTTGAGGTCCATTGTGTTCATAATCAAGCCAGACGTAAGTCACGCTAGTTTGTCTTCTTGGAAGATAGACCGTCCTGGCATCATCATCATTATCATCATCGATATCATGACATCAGTGTTCAACACCGATGCTCCACTGCCGTACAACCATGACTTATTTGAAAGCCTTATTGTAAAGAAAAGAGTAAAGGTGGATGGGGAAGGGACTTAGTTCTAGCATAACACAATCATTCCGACAGACATTCACTCAGGCAATCTGGATAGAAACTGACAACAAGAACGCCAATGACATCGGTTGACAGCCATATCTTGTAGTGTCTCCAACCAGGCACAGTGAGGATCACGCGGTCCCCATCCTGGAAGGCGAGTAGCACCGACA